ATTCTTTACAGCTTTATAAAGATTTAATAATTTGGCAATGGCTTCAGAACTTGTAATACTGAACCAAAATGACAGGACTGGTATAAGACAGTAATATTATCACCTCACGTGAAAATCCCGCCATTCGATTTAATATTAAAAGCTTTGGAAGCTACTATCATGCTAGTTTTAAATATACATGTAGTTGTACATATATATTTGATATGGAAAAGATCCTCAAAATATACTAAATGAAAACAGGTCACAAAATAGTACATATAATTTAATCCTGTTTTTGTTTAAAAATTACATATATAAAGGTCTGCAAAGATACAAATATTCACAGTGGTTACTTTGGAAGACAGAATATAGATGATTATGCTTTTTTCCTTTTGGCTTATCTAGATTTTCTAATTCTATTTCCTGCCACAAACATGTATTATTTAAGTAACAGAGAAAATATAATTGAGTAAAAATGAAAACAAACGTCGAAGTCAAAATACTGCAATTAACAATCCCTGCTTCTACCTAAAATGACAAACTGACTACACTATCAAAGTGTAATTTTTACTGTTACAACAGGAATGGTAGAGTTTAATTTTTTTTCTTTAGATTTAGACTCTGACCCCCAGATAAAATATTGAAAAACCAAATGCTTGGTTTGCTTTTAAAATTAAGAACAGGGAACATTAATACAAACTATGCTAACAAGTATGCTTTAGTTCCAATATTAGCCCCAATCTGAGTGATAAGAGATGGAGAAGCAAGATTAACAGGAAAAAAGAGAGGGAGCCTGCTGATGAGAAGAAAAGACCCAGAGCAGGAGATGTTAAAAGGAAAAGAGAAAATGCCTATTAAACCCCTGAGAGCTGGCCATCCCAGGTCCCCTGTGGGAATGCATCTCCCACAAGTACAGCTGGGCCCTATCATCTTTGTTCCAGTTGGATCTGGGAGCTGAGAGCAAATCTTTCCCTGTTTATAATGCCATTTACTTATACACTGGAAAGTGGTTAAAATGGTAAATTTTATGTTATATATATTTTAACACACACACACACACACACACACACACCTCTGTTCAGACTGAGGAAGAAAGTTAGAAAACAAAGAAGACTCTGAGTTCCTTAAATAGATAGAGATCACCATCAGTGAGGGGGAAAGAAGCCAAAAGGGGAGGCTGGGAGGAAGGTGACAGATCTGAGCCTTTCTGTTTTGAATGAGAGGAAGGAAGGAAGGGAGCTTGGAAGACACGGGTGACACGGTGGTGATAGAAGGGTTACCTTGCTGGGGTAGGCAGGGTAAAGAACGGAGGCTGGAAATATGAAACACCAACCTAACAGTTCTTACTTATCTTCAACTGAACAGGGTGATGGGGAAGAGGGGAGGAGGGGGAGGAAACCAGAAGATCTCTCATATGCGCTTCTCATGCACAAGTAACTGACTTGCTGTCAAGCTCTATGAGGCTCAGGAACATTGCTTGGTATGACTGGGTTGTTGTTTTTTTGTTTCGTTTTGTTTTTCACTTATCATGTTTATTGAGCACCTATAGTGTTCTAAGCACTGTGTTAGGTGCTGGAAGCATACTGTTTTTAGTATGACTTATTTGGAAAAAACAAATTGACTTCAGTTCAATGGAACTTCAATTTGGTAAGATTAAGACCTCAAACTGTGTATGAGCAGGGTCTAGATTTCTCAATAAGGGTCTGAACTTTCCAAATGCATGAAAATGTACACTTGTTTCAAGGAGATATTCATTTAAAAAAATTTTTTTTAAGGTACTGGCACAGACTACAGAGGCTTACTGGTTCCATCTCTTCCTGAATGACTGGGAGTTTTCTTTAGACTCTCATTTCAGGCTTTATAAGAAGAGTATTTGCCCTAACACACAAGGTTGTTGGAAGGAATAAACAAGTTAATGTTAGCCAATGTACTGTATATATTACAAAGTATCATAAAAATGTTACCATATCATTAATAATAAACATATCGATATCATGCACTTCAGAAAAGCAGTAAATTGGGCATAAGGGCATTCTTACCATGAAACAGTTTCACCAAAAGTTTATTTCATGTATATGCTTCTACCATACTCAGAGCTTTGTCAGGGCTCAGGTCCTCTTAGATCCCTAAGATGCTTTTATCTTACTAATAGGGACAAACTACCAGACTAAAGAAATAATGAGCACATAATGAGAAAAAGAGACCACTACAATTACTGAAAATACAGGGATCAAATACATAGAAGATGTAGGTGCAGCAGGGGCTATGATGGAAACAAGGTGACTTGCAAGCATGTAAAGAAAAGAGGGAATATGGTCCTAAAATGGAGCACTTCAGATGATTACAATGCTTATTCATTCAGTGTTAAAAATGGTAAGAATAAACAAGCTTCCCAAGACTCTTTCTATCTAGCAAATATGACAGAATATAGAATGATAAAATTAACTTAATTCAACTATAATATACCTTTTGTTTTCTAAATAATATCATATTCTTGTAACTCATATGGAAAAAAAGTCATCCTCTGAAGGAGCTGTTACATGTATGATCATCATACAGGTGTACTTCCCACGTATTCCTTCTCCAAGAAAAATGTGTCTGGGCCAAATGTAGATCCTCAGAAATTAAAATAAAACTTCTCCTATTCACCAAATAATTATGACCCATCATCCAAATCACTTAAAGGAATGCTTCCAGAATTTTAAAGTTACTTACAATATCATAAATGTCTCGGTCATCCTCATCAGCTAGGGTCAACAGTGCTACCAATGGATAGCGAGATCTGGGCACTGTACCAAAGTCTTCAATTTTAGTATCTCTTGGTAACTGGCAATATATTTCTTCTTTGCTGTCCTTTTTAATACTTTTTGAAAATGTAAAGGTAAATTGCCACTATAACCCAAAATACAGTAATACCAAAGGTGATCAATAATAATGGAGCAAGTACTTTATTTTATCCATAAAAAAGTCTAAAGTCTAAAATTTTCATTGGTTAATGGGTATATCAGATAAAAGGATACAAATACTGTTCTTGATAGAGGTATTCACTGTACAGAGCATCTTCCAGGGCTTGGGGAGTGCTTATTCGGAAGCAATGAAAGTGCTTCTGCAGAGCTTCATATAATTTTTGAACACTGCACCCCCAGTAGCATGTCAGGAGGCTATCTTCAAGGCAGTCTGTTGTCAAAGTTATGCCAGCTGTAGAAAACAAAGGAGAAAAGAAGACAAAGAGAAGAAAATTACCTAATGTAATTTCTCATACAATTATACACAGTGAATAACAAAAGCTTCCTTTTGGAGGCTGGCCCAGCTGATGCCAGTTAAAGGAACTCATTAAAGGGCACGTGCCTGTAAATGAAGGAACTGGTCCCTAAACAAGTGATAGAAAACCTTCAACATCTACACAATTTCGAAGCACTATCAGTAAACTCTTATTATTTATACATTTACACTTGGAAATTATCAAGTTAGTTTTTTGTGTGTGATTTCGAGACTTCTCCCACATAGAGTTTAAAAACTGAAATATAGTTCACTATTGATAACCTACTGCTCTAATAGCATATATAATCCTAACTACAAGAAATAGTAGAGCTGTCTCCAAAAGTGGATATACGCAACCTTGTAACTGTAAGAAACAGAGCAGGACTGTCTCTGAAAGTGGATACATATAACTAATGGGGTCCACAAGATGATCACTGGAGTAGAAAAAATATGAAAAACAAATCAAGCCTTACTAATATTAATATACACATTGACAGCATTAATATATACTCCTGTCACACAGTTAATGTCCCACATAATGTGCAAAACATCCTAAGGAAAGAGCAGGGATTCCAAAACGTGAAGGGCTTAAAAGCAATGCCCTCATTCATTTATTTGCTTTCAGCATAATAAAACATATTATAATTTGAGTAAACCTGATTAAGTGGAAAAATAAACTGTAAGTGGACATACTAATTATATTGTTTTACCTATTTATTAAACACTCACTTTGGACATACTACTAGCATCCATACGATTTTTCCCCTTGCTCATAGCAGTTGTAGCAATATTAAGTTCAAGGGCAGCAATATCTAGGGTCTTAGACTGTTGGCAGTGGAAACTGTAGCCTCTGGTGCTCAGTGGCAGTGGTGGACTTGCAAGACCAAAAGTACATGGTCTGGGTCATTGTTCCTGGCGAACAGCCTTGGTCTCTGATTCTGGGTCTCCAAACCTTTATTGGCAATTCTGTAAGTTACCCAGTATCCTTTGACTGGAGTCATTTCTGTTAACTTGCTAATAGGAATTCTGATGGATACATTATGTAGTTTTAAAAAGGTGATCAATGGGGTGGCTGGGTGGCTCAATCAGTTGGGTGTCTGACTCTTGATTTCAGCTCAGGTCATGCTCTCAGGGTTGTGGGATGGAGCCCTGAATCGGGCTCTGCACTCAGTGGGCAGTCTGCTTGAGATTCTCTCCCTCTCCCTCTGCCACTGCCCACCGCACTCACTCTCTCTGTAAAATAAATAAATAAATCTTTTAAAAAATATATAAATCATCCCTTTACAAAAATAAAATAAAAAGGTGATCAAGAGTATGTGTTGGAAGGATATACACAAACACAAGCAGATGCTCTACAGGATACCAAAAATTCAGTTTCTTACTTTTCTTCCCCGTAATTAGTAGTATATGCATAGAGTTTCAGATTTGGAGTCTGCGTAATAGCAGCGACATAGGATAATTTCCAATCATAGTTAAGCAAAACTTTTAATCGGCAGGAACATTGCATAGGTAATTGGAACAGAATTTGATTTCAAAGTTTTATATGATTCCAATCATCAGGTATTATTCAAGAATGGGAAATTTAATAAGCTATTATTTTTCAGTTAGCTATTAAATAGCCAAAGAAAACCACTCCGTCAATACAAATTTAAATATATATTTATATACATTTAATATACAATTGTTATATTAATTTATACATTATATATTAAAACATGTATCAATGTCATGTTCATATATACTATTTATATTATGTTACATAACAATGTTTATATATTTAAAGTTAATATCTATATTAAAAATCATACATCCTTTTCTCTATGAACCATACAACATGAGGTAAGGAAAAAAGCTGACATAGATACGAAAGGGAGAAATATAAAAGACAGTGGAAAAAGAAAAAAAGGAACCCAGAAAACGATTTCTTAATATTCTTGGCAGAAATGTGTAAATGTGAAAAGATGTTATGTATGGAGCTCTAGTTATATCAAAATGCTGGAATCCATCCAAATGTCCAACGATAGGGGATTAAATGAATAAAATATAGAATATTCCATAATGAAGTATTATGGAGCTCTTAAAAAAGAACTGAGGCATGGCAAAATACCTGCACATACTACTTTGAAATGATCTTCAGAATATATACAAATGAAAAACGCAAGATGGAGGCAAGTATACAGCATACTCCTGTTTATCTCACAGGAGAGGATATCCATATCTATGTGCTTGTTTACACTAAAAAAGAACCATGGAAGGATAAGCCCTAAAACATGTAAAACTACCCAGTTTATTTGCTTTGTAAAACACATCAGAGTTCCAGAGATTCAGAGCTGCATGAAAGGTTTGTTTACAGACTGCATATACGTGACGGAAGTGGGGAGCGTGTCAAAGACTACTGACAACTGGATACTAATCAGACTTCAACAATGTCTCTGAAATTAATATTATAAGTTAATGAGAAGGGAGAATACAATCAATAAATTCTACTCTCCACAATCTCTCCTACACTTGTCCATGCCACAGACTGAGAAGAGAATGTGTTGATTTACACTGATGACAGTACAAATCCCCCAGGCAAAACTGTTCTCCCTTTGGGTCTTCCTACTTCTTCTGCAGACAGTTCTCATTCTTACATTTTCTCAGTCTTCTAAAATTCAGTGCAAACCCAATGCCATCTCAGATTGAGAGCAATAGCAGACTTGGAACACAGCCTTAAACCAGAAAAGTCAGAATAGAAGCTAACTGAAGCAGCATGGGGGTGATTTCCCTCAACCTGCCCTTACGTGCTTTGCTGTAACAGCCAAATGAAGCCCCCCATAAGAGACAGCCTTGAAAAAAATTGCAAAAAATAAGGATTACAGTCAATGAGTTGAGCCATTAAAAAAAGGAGACACAATGGGGCTGACAAGCCACAAACTTTTTTTTTTAAAGATTTTATTTATTTATTTGAGAGAGAGAATAAGATAGAGAGAGAGAGCATGAGAGGGGGGAGGGTCAGAGGGAGAAGCAGACTCCCTGCTGAGCAGGGAGCCCGATGTGGGACTCGATCCCAGGACTCCAGGATCATGATCTGAGCCGAAGGCAGTCGCTTAACCAACGGAGCCACCCAGGCGCCCCAGCCACAAACTTTCTTGAGGAGAATCCCTGAGAAAGAAGAACTAATGTACAAGGTGATCATGCATGAGGATAATAAATCTAGAATATTGGGAGATGAAAATTTTACGTTGTAGAGAATAGAGGTTCACAAATTCCCCTGAAAATGCTATGTGTGTCATTTTGTCTAACCCTTTTACCTTTGTTAGGTCTCACCAGGATGAATAAGCCAAAATATAAGGAAGCTGTTACAAAGGGACTGGAGAATTTCTGAATCAGCTGAATTAAACTCAACTAGCACATCTTGAAGTACCTCCTTTCAATTCATTAGAGCCTTTTACACTGGGGACATGGAAACATCATAAATCCAAATCCGGTATCACCACATAACAACAAAAGAAATCCCAACAAGCCACCCATAGTAAAGAGAACTAAATGACTAAGATTAAAACTGATTCTCTTGCTCATTTTCAAGTAAATCAGGTCTTTAGATATTTCCCTTCCCTCCCTACATGCCAGGCACCTTGGGTACAGTGGTGAAAAAAGACCTGGATTTTTAAACTATCTACACATCAAATGAGATAACCTTTCAAAATGTCACAATTAGTGCTTAGAATATTATTTAAATGTCCTGGTTAGACATCTTTAATGATATCCACTGTTCCACAGTTTAAACAAATGAATTTTATTCTGCCAAATATAATTCCCACCAAAATCCTTCTCCTTATTTACCCAAAGAAGATAATGAATGATAGGCACTGGTATTTATTTTATTTTTTTAAAGATTTTATTTATTTGAGAGAGAGAGAGAGAGAGAAAGTATGGGGGGGAGGGCAGAGGAAGAGGGAAAAGCAGACTCCCCACTGAGCAGGGAGCCCAACTTGGGGCTTGATTCCAGGACCCCGAGATCATGACCTGAGCCGAAGGTAGATGCCTAACCGACTGAGCTACCCAGGCGCCCAGCACTTGTATTTTAAAAATTAAAATACTTCAATAAGCATGCTATAAATCCACACATTTAAAAAAATTTTTTGTGTACTTTGGTAATGCTGCATGAAAGTTGCTTGGCAGCTGAGAGGACTTCTATTTACTGGATATATTTTCATTTGCTTAGAACATTTACAGGGATGCAAGGGGGGCAATTTTTGATACTATTTCTGCCTGAAAGGAAGACTGGTGGATTTCCTCACACTTTCTAGCTCACAAGTATCCTGTGTTTGCTCACAATTTTTCAGTTTTTCAGCATTTCCCGGCTTGTGGAACTATGTAGCAGGAAGGACACTTTTGTATTGGCGGCTTTTTGTATTGGCAGTCCTACTCAAGACCCCAATGTGACATGGCAGAAGGTCCAAGACCTGACCACAGAGGTCAGAGGTCACTAAACTGCCATTGTTCTGTACATTTTAATTAGGCATGTTTTCTAAACAGGTTAATTTTCTCTGTCATATCTTGAAATTTGGTCTTCCCAAGTGAAAAATGTCAGAATGAACCCCTTATCTACCATTAGAGGGGAAAAAAAGCGGTCCTTAGTTCTCTTCAATTCATAGGGTGATAGTATAGCATTTACAGCTAAGGAAGAATAAGAAACTTTGTACTTCTTCATTATGAATTAGTATTTACTTAAGGTTGATAATCCCTATTGACTAAGTACACTGATTTTTTTAAAAAGATTTTATTTATTTATTTACTTATTTACTTGTTTATTTATAGAGCGCACGTCAGCAGGAGGAGGGGCAGAGGGGAAGAGAGAAAGAAAGAACCTCTAGCAGACTCCATGCTGAGCACAGAACCCAACTCAAGGGCTCGATCTCACAACTCTGAGATGATGACCTGAGCCAAAATCAAGAGTCGAACATTTAACCAACTGAGCCACCCAGGTACCCCAGTACACTGATTTTTGACATGTGATTCTGGAAGTTAGAGACAGGAAGATGACTATACAAGAAGGGTCACAGAAGCCTAGGGAGCAGGGTATCAAGAAGGAAGGATTGGTCAACTCTGTTAAACTCTGCAGAGATAATGTTAACTCAGGCCTACAAAGTGTGCACTGGATTTTATGACTGCTGGGGGTCAGGGTTGGGGCAGAAGTGATGATCAGTGACCTGGGGGAAAACCATTTCAGTAGAGGGATATAGGCAAAAATCAGACTGCACTGATCTGAGGAGTGAAAGTAGAGCAGGCTAAGGGAAGAAGGCAAATGCAACCTGCTTTTGAGAAGCATGGCTGTGAAGGGAAGAGAAAGAGGGCAGTAGTTACAATAAGATAAAAAGTTGAGAACGTTTGGGATTGTTTTTAAGATCCCAGGAATCTGAGCACATGTAAAAGGTGATAGGGTCTCAGCCCAGAAATCTTTGTAAAGCCATGGAGCTGTACCTAGAACTGCCCACTCCAAAGTCCAGAAGTTCAAAACTGAAGTCATTACCTTTCTTCCAAAACCTGCTGCTCCTCCCGTATTCTTTATCCTGGTAAGAGGATCTGTCTGTGGAGAGCCCCTGCAAAGAACCTTCTCCCACTCTTCTCTCTTACCTGTGTTTTATCCACAACAAATCACTATTGTTTCTCTACTGCATTATTCTGTTTCTGTATCAGTGCTTTGTTCATGCTTCTCCCTCTACCTAGAATATCTCCCAAGCCCATGAGATAAACACCTACTTATCTTTCAAGACTCTACTCAAAAATAAATAAATAAATAAATAGGATAGACTCAGCACATTCTTCAATGAAGCTTTTCCTGAATATGCCTCCCCACCTCAGCAAACTTAAACCATTTCTTTCTTTCTCTCTTTCTTTCTTCCCGTCCTTCTTTCCTCCCTCCCTCTCTTTCTTTCACTCCAGTGGTTCCTAGATAGTCTTGCAGACAATTTATTTTTCCAAGTAAGTGCAGAAACAAACAACTATTATCTATTATTACCATCTGCCAAAATAACATCTTATACCAAAATAACTTATACCCAAAATACCTTAATTTCAGATTAAAAACACTTGTTCTTGAGAAGGTTAGCAACCTTCCAGTAACTGTTTATGCTATACAATCCATACATTTCTCACTGCACTTAAGACCCATGAAAATGGCAGTGTCCTAACAAACTTCTTATTTTTTTATTTTATTTTTTTTTTAAAGATTTTTTATTTATTTGACAGAGAGAGCACAAGCAGAGGGAGAGAGAGGGAGAAGTAGGTTCCCTGCTGAGCAAGGAGCCCAATGTGGGACTCGATCCCAGGACCCTGGGATCATGACCTGGGCCGAAGGCAGCTGCTTAACCGACTGAGCCACCCAGGCGTCCCGCAAACTTCTCTTATTAACAGTTAAGATACTTTATTCTTCTTACACGAATGCCTCTGTTTGTTAGTTGATAAATTCCTGAGGAGCAAGTTTGGTGAATTATTAGTCTTTATATCTGTAGTACAAAGTACTACATAGTACAGCTCCCAGAATAAAATAGGTGCTCAATAAATACTTGTTAATTCTAATGAAGAGAAAGCATATAGAAAGAAAAATGCTAAGAAAGGGGCACAGAAAGAAAATGATCTTTGGAAAATAGCCACCAACTTGTAATTGAAGCTGAAGATGGATTAGTGATCTCTAAGCCAAAAGGATTCTTGACTTGTCTCATTTGCTTTTTGAAAACTCTTGTGTTGAACTGGGTTTCTTCTGAATTTCTCAAAATTACTGGAACATCCCAACCAAACCTGAAGAAAAATAAAAATAAAATAATACATAATTCTATCAAATACTGAAACTTTATGTGAAGTATGTTGTGCTTCATTAGTTATTCCTTTTAACATATGCACCACAACAAGAGATCAATTTATTCAGTTTACATTATATTACGGAATTAATCTAGAGTTGAGAGATTAGAGGCCCTATACAATTGCAATATATCGTTCAGCTGGCTGAATTGACATACTCCTGAAAATAAAGAGTTCTATTGTTAATATTATTGCTGATAACAAAGAAGTGCAGTCATTACAGATATTGTACTTAATATAACAGAAAAATATGAGAATTATTCAATTTTTAAATTGATATAAAAAACAAATTCATATTTAATATGTAGACTATTTGATATTATTTATGGAACAGGAGAACTTTTTTTAAAATTAATTTTATTTTATTATGTTAGTCACTGTACATTACATCATTAGTTTTTGATGTAGTGTTCCATGATACACCCAGGGCTGGAACAGGATAACTTTTAAACACCAAATACAGCACTTCATTTTTTTTTTTTTTTTTTATTTGAGAGAGAGAGAATGAGAGAGAGAGAGAGCATGAGGGGGGAGGGTCAGAGGGAGAAGTAGACTCCTCGCTGAGCAAGGAGCCCGATGCGGGACTCAATCCCGGGACTCCAGGATCATGACCTGAGCCGAAGGCAGTCGCTTAACTGACTGAGCCACCCAGGCGCCCCTACAGCACTTCATTTATATAACATATTTTCTACTTTTAAATTTCATGTAAAGCTGTGAAAATGCACATTGAACAGATTAGAAGGAAAATGAAAGGGACCAAACTCAATTCCTTATCAAATTAGAAAGCAGCTAAGTTCACTCGATTAAAAAAAGTAACTTAAAATGAATACACATTAGTTAAATGAGGGGACTTTAGGTTAAGATGGCATTCATACTCTGATGCACTCTCTTCTCTCCAGACACTTAGTAGTGATGGATAAAAAATAAACAGAGAAATCCAAAAAGACCACACTGAAATGAGCAAACAAACTGTGGTGTGTTGAAACAAAGGAATAGTAATATTCAGCAATGAAAAGGAATAAATTATTGCTACAGCCACATGGATAAATCTCAAAAACAACATGCTGAGCAAAAGAAGTCTTACACAAAGGAGTACAACGCTATATGATTCTGTAATATAAAATTCGAAAGCAGGCAAAACTAATCCATAGTAGAAATAAAAAACAGGGCAATGGTTGCTTCTGTGGGGTGGAGGGGTATGGACTGACCAGGAAAGAGCATGAGAAAACTTTCTCTGGTGATGGTAATATTGTACATCTTGAGAAGAGGTTTGAGTATAGATGATGTGTTTGATAACACTGAAGACTTGTATATTTCATTGTGTGTAAATATTACTTCAAAATAAAAAAAAGGAACTATAAACAAAAACAAATGTTGACGGACACCTAGGTGGCTCAGTCGGTTAAGCATCCAACTCTTGGTTTCGGCTCAAGTTATGATCTCAGGGTCGTAAGATTGAGCTCCACATCAGGCTCTCTCTCCCTCTCCCTCTGCCCCGCCCCCCTTTTCCTCTCCCCCCTCCAAAAAATAAAACAAAACAAAAAAACCCAAATGTTGAGCTCCAGTTAATAATATGTAATGCTTTAGTGTCTATGGGAAGAGTAACAACTTACTTTGAAGTGATCAAGAAATAAGACGGACAAATACGTAATAAAGACTCTAGCAAAATACTGATTGTAGAACCTAAGTGATGGGCATAATATGTTCATTGTATAATTTTTTCAAGTTTTCTGTATGTTTGAAAATTTTAATAATAAAACGTTGTAAAAAAAAAAGAGACATAGTGGGTTCAAAGACAAATCTTTATGGTTCTGAAAAGGGAAAGAAATATAAAGTAATGAGTAAGGCTGATGCCATGGTTTGATGGGTCCTGAGTCTGGCAGCAGGCAGTGGCAAGGAAGCCTTCCCATAGTAAAAGGACCTTATAGGTTGTCCACTCAAAACAAGAGCCAGAGAGAGTTTCATAATTTGAATCCAGGAACTGGGTTAGGCCAATATCAATATGGAACAGAACTGTCATTGTAAGACCTGGTCCTTGACTGGGGAGCATCTAGGAATTGGGTTGGAGACAATTGTAAAATGGTTAAACAGCAAGGGTGATGACAAAGGGTAGGGAAGAAAACTTTTACTAAAATTTAAGTTGCAAACCAAAATTTCAAAACACATGAATAAATCTAATACAAAGAGAAGGCCAATAAAAGTAACACATGGAATAAAGTTACACTCTAGATGAATTTAATTTTATGGAACAGTTAGATAAGGCTGTTCTGGTTCTGCTTAAGAAAGCCAAAAAGCAAGCCTCTAACAGATCAAACTGTTTCCAAGTAAGTTAACTGTATCCCAAAACAAAGCTCAAGAAAATATATATATGAATACAAAAATATCCAGCACCCTAAAGTAAAATTCACAGTGTTTAGCATCCAATAAAAAATTAACAGCCATGCAAAGAAGAAAATATGACTCATTATGAGGAGAGAAACTAATCAAAAGAAATGGACCCTAGAAATGACATGGATCCTAGAACTAGTAGACAAGAACATCGAAATAATTGTTATAACTACTCCATATTTTCAAAAAGGTAAGTAAAGATTGAGCATACTATATGGAGACATGGAAGATATTTAAAAAGACCCAAATCCATTTCTGAAGATGAAAAAATACATTTGAGATGAAAAATACACTGGATGAGATTAATAGCTGACTTAACATTACAGAACAAAAGATTAGTATATTTGAAGACTTATCAACAGAAAGGATCCAATATGAAACACAGAAAGGGAAAAAAAGGCTGGACAAAAATACCTCAAAACATCAGTGAGCGGAAGGACAACTTCATGCAGTTTGCAGAGAAGGGGCAGAGACGTACAAGAAAACTACAGATGCCTATCACTCAGGAACATAGATGCAAAACTTAACAAAATTAACAGATGAAATCCAACAATATATTAAAAGGCTAATACATCATGACCTAGTGATGGCTTAGCATAACATTAAAAATTTAATGTAATTCACCATATTAACAGACTGAAAAAGAAAAACCGTATGATCATCTCAATACATGCAGAAAAACCACTTGCGAAAATCCAATGTCTAGTCCTAATAAAAACTATCAGCCAACTAGGAATGTAAAGGAACTTAACCTGGTAAAGGACAGCAATAAATATGTAGAGCCAACATCATACTTTAGGAAAAACTGCTTTCCTCCTAAAATCAGGAACAAGACACTTAATAGCTACGTGTCCTCAAGCAATTGCTCAACCTCTGTGTAACAGGTTTCCGGGCGGGAACAGGGCTTGGCACTACATAGGTGCTAGCAATGATAATGCTGATCATGGAGTAGACATAGGGGGTGGCAGAAGAGCTAGAGAGAAAGAACAAATCCAGTAATTTCTCCGTTTTGAGCCTCAGAATCAGTTACCCCGCAGCTTCTGTATCCACTGCCCAACATTGCCCCAGTGCCTTTTAGCGGTTAGGTCAGGAATGTGAAATGGTGGGACACATGATACAATCTTCCCACGAGAGCCATAAGATAACACCTTCTTCTTCTTTCCTTCATCCCGTGGAGTGAAAAAAACAAAGCGAGAAAACACCATTCTGTGCTATACATACTCATTCTATTTCCTGGCCCCTTCATCATTTTAATTCTCCCTACCATCCCCTACCCCTTTTTCTTTCTTTACCCCCACCGCCTGGCTCCTTACACCCACATTACCAGCAGTAAACACTGGAATCAGAGCTCATTGTGTTCAGTTCTACTGTAGGTTCAAGCATTATATTTCAGATACTTTATCATGTTGTACCTAAAAATTTCAATTAAAGAATCTTTAAAGGTGTAGGAGCCAGAAACCCAAAAAGCAGGGCTTTGAAGAAATATCTGGAAGCAGCCTGTTGTGAGCATGGAATTCCTTTACAATATGCTTTATTTATTGTGTGTCAACTATACTTCAATAAATAAATTTTTAAGAAATATTTTTTCTTTATTTATTCCATGATATATCTGGTTTTAATATAAAAAGTATTATTTCTCCAAATCCTTATATAAAATCAGTGTTGTAGGAAGATATGCCATATCTGTTCTGTGGTTTTGAATACACCTCAGAATGGAACAAATAATTTGAGATATAAAGTTTTGCTTCTTTTTAAACATGCTTATCCAAGGCTGCTTGGCCCAGCATCATATCAAGAGCTGCCAAAACACACCTATTATTAAAAGAAACTCATCTCCCTAGATTTTTTTATTTCTCTGCCTCATGCTTACTCTTGGGTCTGCATTTTCAAATAGCCTCACGTCCTTGATTTGAGTCAAATACATCTTTTAAAATTGGTATTATGGATCATTCTAAACCCTTGGCCTTTTTATGCTATATAACCTTTTTACCATGAAGGATAACATACAGAAAAGTACACAAAACATAGTTCAATGAATTAGAAAGTAATTGGTATTCGGGTTAAGAACCCAAACAATATTCTCAGAAAGTCTCTTGTGTCGCCTTCCCTGTCCACTATCTTGACTTCAATTACTGTAATTTAGTGTACTTGTTTCTGAATTGTTATATAAGTGGAAGGATGCTGTGTATACTTTTATTTCCTGTTTTACAGCTTTATGCTTGCAGATTCATCCATGCAGCTATACTTAGCACATTTTTGTGGCTGTATAGCATTTTATTGTACAATAAATGTGCTGTAACTTGCTTACACATTCTACTCTTAACGGACATTTAACTTGTCCTCACATTTTGGCCATAATGAATAATGCCTATACAAACATTTTCATATAAGGCACTTGGTGCACATGCATATACCTGCATTTTTGTTAGGTCCACACACGCTGAGCATGGTATTTCTCGGCCATAAGGTCTGTGCTTCTCCAACTTCAGTGGGTAATGCTAACAAATGTTCTACGGGGTAGTATCAATTTATACTCCCATGTTCCCCTTGCG